GTCCCCAGGGGGAGGAGGAGGAGGAGGAGGAGGAGGAGGAGGAGGGGGAGGAGGAGGAGGAAGTAGAAGGGATAATATGGTGACACATGAAGGTCGTTATGACTGATTGTTGATGGTGGTGTGTTGTTGATGATGGTTTTGGCGAAAATGCGTGCGATCCTGGTGATGTGGATGCTGATGCTGCTGATGATGATGACGGAGATGGAGATGGTGACATTGATGGTGATGGTAATGGCGAATTGTGATGGTGATGGTGATGGTGATGGTGATGGTGACGGTGATTGTGACGATGATGAGGATGGTGATGACGATGTCGATGGCGATGCCGATGACGATGGTGGTGGTGCTGATGATGGTGGTGATGGTGATGGTGACTGTGGTGGTGACGATGATGAGGATGGTGATGACGATGCCGATGACGATGACGATGATGGTGGTGCTAATGATGGTGATGATGCTGATGTTGGTTGTGGTGATTGTGATTATAGTGATGGTCGTGGTGATGGTGAGTTTGATGATGGTGATGGTGTTGGTGGTGGTGATGACGCCGATGTTGACGATGCTGTATGCTGGTGTGGTTGCTGTTGGAGATGATGGTTATGAGTGTGGTGGTGGTGACGACGATGACGATGACGACGACGGCGACGACGACGACGATGATGATGATGATGAGGACGATGATGCCGATGATGATTATTATGATGATGACGATGCTGATGCCGATGATGATGATGATGATGATGATGATGATGATGGTGGTGGTGGTGGTGATGATGATGACCATGATGATGGTGGTGATGATGTTAATCATCATGGTGACCATGCTGATGATGGTAGTACGGTTATGATAATGCTGATCATGGTTAGCATGACAATGATGGTGATGATGGTAATGGTGATGGTGATGGTGATGGTGATGGTGATGGTGATGGTGGTGTTGATGACGATGATGATTATGATGATGATGGTGATGATGATGGAACTGGCGGTGGTGGTGTTTGTCGTGGTACCGATGGTGATGATGGTGTTGAGGATGATGTGGATGGCTATGCGTTTAATGATGCTGGTGGTGGTGACGCTGATGGTGTTGATAGTGGCAGTGGTGATGCTTGTGGTGATGAAGGCGATGACGACGATGACGACGAAGACGACGGTGGTGGAGGTGATGACGATTATGTTTTTGACCATGATGCGTCCGACGACGACGGAGACGGTGGTGGTGGTGATGGTGATGACGATGGTGACGGTGACGGTGATGTTGCTATTGCGCGAGGGGGATTGAGAGATTGAGCATGGTGGTGAGGAGGAGCAGGAGAACGACCAGGAGGCAGGAGGAGGACGAGGGAGGAGATGGACGAGCGGGGTAAGGAGGAGCAGCACGAGGGGGGTCAATGTCTGAGGAACTGGGCTCCGACGTCTTCACCTCGGTTTGGGGCCCCAGGAGGCTGCAGGGGCATCCGAGGACCTCTGGAGGCCCCCGCGGTCCCCTGGAGAGTTCCAGGAGCCTCCAGGGGCCTGGCCCGCGTTAGAGACCTTGGCAGGCGGCGGTGGTGGAGGGCGAAGGAATGAACGAACGAAGCAGCCATGCGCTACAGTGGGGGCGCGCATCAAGAAACCAGATGCTTTTCATCAGGGTATCCTGGGTTTCTTCGCTCCGCGCGCTGCGTGGAGACTTCCCGCGGCCGTTGAAGGAGCTGCTGCGTTCAGGGTCCTCCAGGTTTCCCCTCCAGTGTTGGGTTTCTTGCGGGGGTTTCTTGCGGCCGCGCTCGACCGAGTTGGAGCGAACATGGACAGGCCAGGTGGAGCAGGAGGGCGGAAGAGTTGGCGGAGGTTGAGAAGAAGGGAGGAGATGGAAAACGGATTCTGGGAGGTCTCAGCGAATTCGATTGATTTCTATTGAAGCCCAGGAGGTGTCAGGAGGAGCGTAAAGGGGGGATACAGGGATGCAGGAAGCAGGAGGGAAGCAGGAAGAACAGATGGAAGGAACGAGGAGGATAATTTGGCAGAGGAGGAGGAGGAGGAGGAGGAGGAGGTAGGAGGAGGATAACAATGAAGGAGAGCGACGACGACAGGGGAGGAAGAAGTCGACGACGCCAGCGACGACAACGGCAACGGGAGGAGGAGGAGGAGGAGGAGGAGGAGGAGGAGGAGGAGGAGGAGGAGGAGGAGGAGGAGGAGGAGGAGGAGGAGGAGGAAGAGGAGGAGGAAGAGGGGGAGGAGGACCAGAGTAAACCCAAGAGTCAATCAGCGATGTTGGAATCAACCCTCCCTCCAAGCTCCCTCGTCAGATTCCCCTAGAGAGGTTCATTCTCACTGAGGGAACTGCCTCGTTGGAAGACAGCCATGTGAAGAGCCTGAATCGTGGCGCAACATTTTTCTCGGGACTCCAACGCCACGGATCAACCTGACTGTTGCGTCTTGACGGTGTTGAATCGTACCAGAAGCCATTCGTTGGACTTCAACGCCGCGAATCAAAGTAACGGGTGCACCCTTATAATATTGACTTTTTTCAAAACACTATTTTTGGTACGTTGACCATGCGAGTCTGTGAAATCCTGACAATGTTCAAAAAGGAATACACGTGGCGCTAAAACGGTGAAAAGGAACCGCCCTGAATCCGTGAAGCTCTTGCATATGTTTGAATCGAATGTACACGGCGCTAAGGCGAGAGGCACATATTGAAAGCGGCCCGCCCTCAACCCGTGAAACTGCTGCAAATGTTTAAAACGAATGTGCGCGGCGTTGAGGCGAGAGCCACACTTTGAAACCCTCCCTCAATCGTAGAATCTCTTGCAGATGTGTCAAGCGAATGTGCGTGGCGCTAAGGCGAGAACCACATGTTGAAAACGGCCCGCCTTCAATTTGTGAAACTCTTGCAAAGCTACAGAACGAGTGCGCACGGCGCTAAGGCGAAAACCACATTTTGAAAACGGCCCACCCTGTTTTTGTGAAACTGGTATCAGGTTTAAGCTTCAGGGGCATGAACGGTGGGGAAGTCAGGCGAAACGCCCGGCACGCTCTTTCGACTGGCCTCGGGGTGCGACAAGGGTAATCTATGTATAAGGAAAAGGAGTGGAGGAGGAGGAGAAGGAGGAGGCCGCGAGAAGGAGGAGGAGGAGGAGGAGGAGGAGAAGAGAGGAGTAGAGAGGAGGGTGACGAGCATCAAGGACAAAGGAGAACGGAAAACGAGATGAAGGAGGAGGAGGGCGCCCACGACAGCGACGGCGGCGGCAACGGCGGCAAACACGACGACGGATAATATCGGGGTGGGGAGAATGCGCGGGCTGGCCACAGATTCGAGGCGTCGAGGGGGCGATTTTAACAACGGGGGAGAAGGAATCATGAGGGGAGAGGAGGAGGAGGAGGAGGAGGAGGAGGAGGAGGAGGAGGAAGAAGCGCGAAGGTGAGAGGAGGAGGAGGAGGAGGAGGAGGAGGAGGAGGACGAGGACGAGGACGAGGAGGGGGATCGAGGGTGCCTGCTTGTTGTTGCATGCTTGACACATTCCGCGCCTCTGGAGCGCACCTGGAGGGTGAGGAAGAGCGGAGGGGAAGAAGAGGATGATGACGAGGAGGTGCACGTACGTAAGAGGAGGAGGATCCAGGATGCGTATGCCTGGGCATACCTTGTTTGTGTAAGTATGGTGCGCCCTCGTCGCCAGGGCTGGACTCACTGCAGAATTCAGGCTGCCTGGATGGATGGTTGCCATGGCTGGACGCGCCCCAGTTGCGGGGATCGATTCGGCAGGGAGGAGCAGGAGGAGCAGAATGAGGGGGAGAATCGGTCAGATGGTGCCTACTCCCAGGGAGATGTTCCCAATAAGGAGGAGAAGGTGGAGGAGGAGGAGGAGGAGGCGGAGGAGGAGCAGAAGGGAGGACGACCGGATCCTCCTTCTCCTCCTCTCTTCCCTCCCCCTTGCCCCCCACACCCCCTCAGATGGTGCCTACACCCAGGGATATGTGTTTTATATGTATATATACATATATATATATATAAGGAGGAGGAGGAGATGAGGAGGAGGAGCAGGAGCAGGAGCAGGAGCAGGAGCAGGAGCAGGAGCAGGAGAGGATGAGGGGATTGTCCTCCCTCCTTCCCTCCTCCCTCCTCCTTGCCCCCACCTCCTCAGATGGTGCATACTCCCAGGGATATGTTCCCAACGAGGAGGAGGAGGAGGAGGAGGAGGAGGAGGAGGGGGATTTTCCTCGAATGCCCCGAGGCAGAACGTAACACGAAGCACGCACGGATGACCCAGAAGGAGTGTCAAACAGCATTGTCCAACAAACCTGGGTCTAGCAGACCCCAGAAGAGTCAGACAGAATTGTCTAACAAACTTGGGTCGGAACAAGCAAAAACCAGCAACATCAGCAGAAGGACGCTTTGGCCGCCTGCTCCCGTGCCTTGATGCGCTCGGAAAGCGCCAACATCCCCGAGGTCGGGATGAGCCTGGTTCTCGAGCTGCCCGCCGTCGATGTCGACGCAGCGGCAGCCTCGAGCAACACCGTGGCGGAAGGACGACAGGTGGACCCGACCGCCACCCCACCTCGAATAGTGGGGGTGAAGACCACGACGAATTCGATACAACGTTCGCTCCCCACTCTTTGAGATCTGGAGAGGGAAGGGCAATCGCCCGCAAGGCGTACACACCGTTTACTGGAGTACGCCCCGCACGTGAGACAGAACACGAGAGGCAGGCACTGAGCATCCTGAATCGTAGAGACACTGAGCGTATGGCCTCGCAGCTCCGCTCCGCGAAGCTTCTCGGTGGCCGTTGGGAGGCCTTTTACAACCCATCATCGGACGGTCGGCCCCGTACACAACAGTGAAACATCTCCTGCACCTCCAAGCCACCCCAGGTTCAACCTCAAGCCAGTCGTGCCAGCTCGAATCTCTGATCAGCCTGGGTCGGAGTCCTCTGGGCGCACGGCGGAACTCGAGTTTGAGGCAGCAGCGGCGAACCGCGGAACCATGCTAGCTATGGCCTTAGTGCGAGAAACGATCAGAT